ATATACCTCTGATGTATAGTGGTTTGTCATGTTCTGTCACATAAATTCACTGGCTTTACCTGTGTCCTGTAAATCTGACACCGTGCTCTCTGTCATGCTTCCAAAGTAATAGAATAATTTTTATATTTTCAAACGTTTTGTTTGGCTCAAAAGGGATAATGAGAAGAACACCACCATGTACCAGCAACTGAAGGATGAATCACCTGTACCATCTGCTCTTCATAGCTTGTCTGACTTTGATTTGTCAGAAAAGTCGTCTCTTGGATCACCTGAGCACATGCATGACCTAGAAGGACAGCATGGCACACAGGCACTTCTGCCAAACAAGTTTGCCCCAGGTAATTTTTTTCCCACTGAAGATTCACTAGATATTGAGAAAATCTGGTAAGTAAGACACAAGGGAACTAATTAAGAAATAATGAAGAATGTTTGTCTGCTTCAGCTTTCCAGTGTCTTGCATAATCATTGCAATTTCAGTAATAAGGCATACAGAGATGACAACGATTTGAACTGCCTCCTGTTTGAAACAAACTTAACTATGATATTTTGTGTCTTTGTTGTTTTAGACTATCATCTTTTACAGTACTCCAGACGGTCTTTAAATAGACAAGATATAAGGGGAAAATAGACAATTGTCAAGAGATTATTATATTGAAAATGAGAGATTTTCTAATTTTATAAAAGCCAGTGTTGTGTTTCCTTGAGAATTGTAAGTGCTGCATAATTAATAAGTGGTGTCATGTTTGACCTGGATAGTTTCACTAAGCACAAGTGATGCTTGCAATAGTTTGTTATAGGCAGTGATGAAAATTTAATAGCTGAGATAGCATGTACTGTTCAGGAGAAAAATATTGCAGAGTAAACCGGGAGTGTATGACATGGATAAACTGACAAATAAGATAGTGACAGTTCGAACAGATAAGTTCCTGAGTCAAGCTGAAACTTACAGCCAATGGAAGAAAAATTGCAGAATGGCAAAGCAAGAAGGAAAAGGTACGGTAATGAAACTTAATAGAACAGATTTATTTATTGTGGTATGCATTGTGTAAGTCAAAGTAAAATTTATATCTAAGTTACTCTGGTAAGCTTCCTATTGTTATAAGGAAAAATGTATACTGTTGGTGCATTGCAGAACTGTGGATTCATTTCCCAGTAGGGGGAATGTTTTAACTAGAGAAAATTGTTATCTACTACAGTTTTGTGGGAAAAAGAAATTTAAAGACCCTTAAAACTGGACCATTGTTTAAAGTTAAAATGTAGAGTAGGAGTTTTCACTACATGCACAGTTTGGGCGTTATATAGAAGACGACTGTTGTGGAGTCAGATATTTAATGTCTGCCATCTTGAACAGCTCTGTATCATTTTTTAGTATTAACACACATTAGATTTGACAGGAGTACATAGTGCAAAGGAATACAATCGTCTACTCTAAATAAGAAGTGGTCTCTTGGTTTATTTAGAGTTATTAATGGAGCATCTGCAAGAAATTCGAATCCTGAGACAACGTTTAGAATACTCCATAAAAACTAATGAGAGACTGAGGAAGCAGCTTGAGACACAAGTAACAGACAAGGAACTAGATCAAGGTGAGTATTTATTTCGTGACAAATTAAATCCACCTTTCCTGCTTAACGCCTGAGGGATCAAATGCTGCTGGAAATGTTTTGTGTGCTTTTTTGAATAAACCCCACCCCTTTAGAGTTGGAAAATGATGTGCCCTTCTGTGAGTGCTGCTGCATCTTGAGCTCTATCAGCAGACACAGCTTTTCCACGCTTCTCATGGAGTGGCATAAATATAGATCTAATGTGCCTCTTCCTCGAGTCCATTGCCTGAGTGTATCCAGTACGAATGCACAAATCTTTCATGGGATACAGGTACACCCAGACAGCCCCAAACCTACAATTGCACGTATTGCTAAGAGAACAGGACTACCAGGTAGTTTTATGACGTTTGATGATGCTGTGGTTGAATTTCGTATGGAGAATTGAAAGACCCTTATAGTTCTGTTATCAGCAAACAGCCTGCCTTTTTTTTTTTTTTTTTTCTTTTGTGCCATTGGGATATCATTATTGTTGTAACGGTCTTGGATTTTAGGATGTTTTCCCCTTTTAATTGTCTGCCATCTCCAGCCAGGGGCAGTTGCAGGAGAGGAAGCCCGTTTTATCAACATAATTTCACTGGGGCCTGGGCCCAGTATGGACAGAGGAGGTGCTTTGCTCTAAATTACAATGCTGTGGAATTAGCTTTCCTATCCCCACACCGTGTGTACCCACGGTGGTCAGTACAGCACCACTGTGAATAGGACTGTTGAAGACTCCTTCTCTGGAATTTTCCAACTGCTTTAAACCCAGCTTATGTTTACATACAGGGACGAAATATTTGTAATACAGAGTCTAGGCCATGGTGTTCAGCTTGGCATTTGAATTGATTGGTGTGATAAATATGTTCTACACAAAATGACATCGTAAGTTTTTAATGAGAAATACCTGACAGAAACTGATGGAAATTTTAACGTAGTGTTGGTTTTCATTCCAAACTCTAATATAAAGCAGTGGATGAAAAATACTAAAAATAGGTATGCAAATTCCGAGTCACTGCTCTCTGTTGCTAGTGTTTAGCATCTTTGAAAGCCAAGCTCTGTGGTATATTTAAAACTTTTCAACAGGAAGGTAGCCAGGCTTTCACTAAGGATGCTTTTGTAGCACATTTTCAAGCACGCTATACCAGGCACACTTTCCTACACTTTACTCTGCTCTTGCTCTCCATCCCATATTTCCCCCATTGGACAATTGATTAATATGCAATATTACTCAGAGTGGAAGCAGGCAATATATACATACATGCTTTCCTCTTACTCAGTTTCACTAATATTGACATTAGATTCATTATGTTTTACATCATCCCCATGATCCATTTCTGTTGTTGTTTAAATGGAGACTACCTGCAAATGGCAGTTTGCTTTCAGGAATAATTTACAGTGATGGAAAGGTGTATAAAAAGCATCCATTTCATTCATGAAGTATTTACGCTGCTGGAGAGGCATACTGTTCTCGTGAAATAACCACACCGAAACACTTCCAACTCTTTTACAGCTTCATAAAGATTCTGGCAAGGGCATCCATTAATGCAGTGAAAGTATATTTTCTTTATAAACTGTCTTATGCCTTCCATCTGTCTTCTTGTTGCCTTAGTGCATCTACCAATGCATGGAGGAGAAATTTGGAAAAGAAAGGAAAAAAGCAACTACCTGTTAGAACAGCTCCTTTTTGTTACTATGTTCTTTCAGTGCCTCCTGTTTACTCTCCGTTTTGAAGATCTCTTTCATGTTGGCAGATATGCGTATTCTCTCCTAGTAATGATGCTACTTTTTTTCCTGATAGATGGGCTTTTTCTGACCTTCAGTGTAAGAATTTCCTAAGTGAATTTGAAGCAGACTTTATCTTTGGGATACAATAATTCAAAACAATTTTTTATTTTTAACTTAATATCCGTAGTTTGTTTTCCTTTAAAAAACAAAACCGAGTTGTAACATACTTAATTGTTGATGAGAGCCTGTTAATTTTGCATGATACTGAGTTGTTTGTTCAACTAAAGTTAATGCATAGAATTATTCTTGTCTGATAAGTATTATATGGATGTATATACATCTGCCCACTATTTTTGCCATGCTATTTTTAATATTTAGATTTTCTAAGTATTTAAATGCCTCTGGGCTTCTAGTATTCTATAAATGACTCAAGTGCTGGTAATGACTACATCGTTACTATAGAGCTGAGGTTTGCAGTGTAAGTACAACTAAAATGATTGCTTCAATCATTTCAGATGTTAGGCTTCAAAATAAAATCAAAGGTTTAATTTTGAGTTTCCTAGGTTTCAAATGTTATTAATGGTGGGGCTTTTGTCTGCTTTTTCTAACCCGTAACTCATTCATGTATCTACTCAGACTTACCTTCAGATTTAGTATGCCTTTGTTTTGCTTTACCTAGGAATGAGTATGTCCTTCCTCTTTGCTGTGATTTTCAATAGTGCCTGTCTTTCAGTCAGTGTTTCCTTTGAAACCTTCAAGGTTTGCTTCCTCAGCACTCACTTTTTCAGCACAAAACATAATGAAAACTCAAGTGTATTGCAATTGTAGGCCCTGATGCTCCACTTTACTCTGGGTAGATGGACCTTTGCATCTATGGAGAGTGTAATTGATGTCAGCACGGCTCTGCACAGAAGTAGTAGTCTCAGTAGTGGGTCAAATTGCAGGATTGTGGCCTTATTACCACTGACTCTACATTATCCCTTATTATGTAAGATAACTACTAGTTACATTCTAAAGCCTTTCAGTAGAACTGTGATAGCATAACTTTTCAAATAGGATAAAGCTGGGTGATGGGCAATAAATTAAATTAGAATCAAGATGAGACCATCAAGCCTTGCCACTTCAAGTTGAATTGCTTTGTTAAAATCTGAAAGGAAAAAGCCTTTTGAGTTCACATAGCTACCTCAACTCTTTAACATATAGATAGTAAAATGCCATTAGTGCCAGGCTTCTAGAGCCTTTGAGTCTTTCAGTAACGACAAGAGGTGCATATCATGGCACACTACATCCCAGTTAGGTAGTGGGTAAAAGCTTCAGTTGGGATTACAATAAAATGAGATTACTCAGAGGAAGTGCAGCACGTCAAATTGAATTGAACTGCCAGAGCTGAAAGGCATCCTCCTCATACATTCAGCTAATTTTTTTGCCAGCTGGTTATTTCTCTATTAACCAAATAGTTGACACTCATGTAGTTATCTCAAGCTTTAAAGCGTAGGAGATACTGGGATAACCAATCAACTGAAAAATACTTTTAATAGTAATATTAATTCCGGTGGGTGCTGAAGTGTTTTACTGACTATAAGCAGGTTATAAAGGGCAATAACAATTACTTGGCTTGCATTTCAGAGGCAGCCACCTTGAGAGTGGAACGTGGCACTTTTCAGACGGCACTGTAACGCTACCCATTGCTGTGGGATGAGTAGCATAAATACAGTACATTATGAGGGTTACCTAGGCTGGAATTTGACTGACTGGATGCACGATTTAACACTTAATATTCATATGACTAGCGCAATAAGATCCTCAGAGTAGGATTCATCAGCCTTAAGGTTTTTAAAAGTCAGACATTTAAATCTGTGCCAGTTACCCAGATCTTCTCGTGGAGGCGCTGGAGAGACTGTCTCCATGGCACTGGAGAGAAGAGAGATGTCTCTTCAGAGGACAGGGCATCTAATCCGCAGAGAGGTGTGTAGACGATACATCGGATGAATCACTCTCCGGAGGTGCCTGTTTCTCCCTGTGACTGTTGATGGAAGCCATAGGTTGATCAACACTGCCTCAGATATCTAAATGTTAAATACACGAGTTGAAGAGGAATGAGTCTTCATCCCTGGCATCGTAAATGGGTTCTCAGTTTGTAAGCAGAGGCAAAGACAGAGACTCCAGCCTTATGATCTAGACTGGATGGTAACAAACGTATTACCAGACTATTTACATCCTGTGTTATCCACCATGGATTAGTTTGTAGAATCTAGTGGGCCTCTGCAATGGTGTCATTAAATACAACAGAGTCTGAACAGAGCAAGACTGAAATATATGGTAAACGTTTGTACTGTTTGCAGTATTTTCAAAGAATAGCAATGCCACAAAATACTCCTGCATTTTGTCCTGCTGGAATTTTAGCTGATAGGTAAAGGCTGCCAGGGATAATTTTGCAATTTTGGTAATGGTTGCCCAGCAGTGAGAGGTACTTACCATGCAGGGCTTTGGATTACTTGGCATTAACCTGAACTGCCTTTCAGTCTGTAGGGATAACCTTCAAAATACATAGGGGAGAAATGTCTTTCGTAACATGTTTTTCTGCAATTTTTTAAATTGCTGTTTAATAATAACTATTTAATCTTTAATGACCTAGAGATGACTCATAAATCATCTTTTATGTATATATTTATAGGTTCTGCAAACATTTTTATCCATGGCTCAGAGCAGCATAATTCCCTGACTTCTGAAATACATTTCCTGAGGAAGCAAAATCAAGTTCTGAATGCAATGCTAGCAAAAGGATCCAGAGGTAAAAATGTAAAACTGTGCTTTACAGGAGTAGACTGCAATTCATTTCAGATCAGAAACCAATTAACATTCATTAAACTGACCTAACCATTCGTTTCACCCCTGAAATTCCACGCTCAACCATAAGCACTAAACCAGGGGCTAACAATGACAAAGGAGCAGCAATGTTCCTTCTTTATGTTTATTTGTAGCATTTTTGATATGTTATTCACTTCCATTTCTCTATTCTTCTTGCATTCCTTTCTTTTTATATATTATTAGCATTTTCTTGCTTCTTTTGCCCCATGCTTCCATTATGAAGTGCTGTTAAAAAAAAAAAAGCCATAGGAGAGCATTATTGCTGCAAATGAAACCATTTAGTACAGAGGAGTTCAACTGCTGCAGAGAGTTGACTGGACAGGCCAAGCCATCTTCTTTTTGGAAACAATTTGGAAGAGAACAGAACTGAGGGAAGCCTTTGTCAGCTCTGAAATGAATTTTAAACTTTTCTCATTTTCACACCTGTGAAGAGAGAATATTCAAAGTCTTCCTTCTTCTTTCCCTCCAAGGAAACCAACAATTTTCTGACTAGGTTCTTCAAAGCAGCTTAAGCTACAGTAAGGTTGTAAGTCTCCATATTTTCAGACTGTTTGTGTAAAAGCACCGATACTTATTCCAGAGTCGTGTATTCTCTCATCTGGTTTAGTGCCTCTTGGTGCTTATCAGTTTGTTCAAGTTCTACTTTTGTAATTAATATATCCCTGCTTTTGTTTGTTTCCACGCTTGACAATATGATCTGATAATATCAGGGTTTGTTTTTTTATAAGAATCACAATGAATAGAGCATTGTTGCCCTTGTGTTTTAAAATAATGTCGGTATCTCTGGAGTTTGTGATCTTCTTTTCTTCTTATTCATGGATGTACTAGAGAAAGAAAAGCCTCTTAGATACCTCCTGCATGTTTTGGTCTCAGGTGCTTTCTGTCTAGTCTTAGCTTAGCATGTGGGGATTACCATTTTCATACGCTTTCAACAGGACTACTGAAGAGGAGAGAATGATTTTCTGGTTGCTGGGAGATGGAACGATTCCTCTCTGCTGTTTCTTTGCCAGCGTTGCTGCCTCCTTTTCCGCTGCTAAACATAGGGTCACAAAAATCTTGGGGTCCCCATAAGCCTCTCTGATTGCAGCTGTCTCAGAATGCTCAGTTCCTCTGTTAGCAATTTTTTGTCACAGAACCAGTCTGGGGAAATAGCTTGTGCCAAGGAAAGGAGGAGTGATATGATATATTCGGCAGATGAATAGGGCTAGGAAGGAGAGGACAGAGGGATTTCTGTGAGAGAAAGAGGAACATGGA